GTCACTACTATTCTGTAATAAAAGTTATTCTTCATCAAGATCTTCGACGTCTTCACTTTTTCTTACACTGCTTTTAGCTGTGCATTTGCTGATTGAGCACTGTGCTGTATACGACTTATTCCACTGTGTATCGTCTTTTTATTCAAAACAGTTTTAATAAATGTTATTGTAATTATTTTGATTAAATTTTTTCCTTTTATAAAACACTTTAAATTGCCAATATTTATGAAATGAGCTATATCAATATCCTCTCCTAGCCTAATACTTAATTTGCTAGCTCTTATGACACAACATAAACAGTTAGCAGTAACTTCAGTTAAATTTACACCAGTTATGTTAGCCAACGTTAGACACAGTGCGACCATTTGCGACTGAAAACTACTATGAAAGAATATTTAGGAGCACCAGTGCGACTGACCCGATCAGCATATTTGTGTTTGCGCTCGAGGAGTTTACTTAGAACGTGTTTTTAATTTAATTTGAGTAATGTTATCAGACAAATCTGCTGATTCCTTGAACACAAAGTCAAATTCACTCAAAACACCGTTTTGTTCAGTGCTGAGTTATGCAAGCTCACGAATCCTCTTATGATAACAAAGACACGATGTAAATAAGAGATTGACTGATTATATTATATATTATGAACTTCGAGTGGTCGCTTTTAATGATTATTAAGAAGTTTGCAGATGTGATATTGATTTAATACAACAGGTCAATAAACAAGAGTTTAGTATTAAGTGACTTATTTTGTCTGACTACAACACTATTGCCTGATTTTGCTTTATTTCGTCAAAGAAAATAGTTTGAAACACAGTCACAGTTAAGCCACAGCGCATCTCTAAGCAAACAAAAAAGCGGTGTTTCGTTTATGAACGAACGTGCGTTTTTAAACAAATATAGTGAGTCAATGATTCAATTACCTGTTCAATTTACCTGACAGTCACTTGATTCGTTCCTGAATGAATCAGTTGTTTGATCAAATCAATTGAATGAATGATTCAGTAATAAAATCAGCGACTTGCCGCCACCTGCTGGCAGTTTTAGTTTCATTTTTAAAGTATCATTTCAGTTATTTAAATCATTTAATATTTTTATATTCAAAATTTTATATTTAAAACATTAATCTCAACATGAATTTATGAGTTTAATTGCACTCATGCCACCTCTGAGCCTCATTAATTGTCTGTAAATATACCTACATGCCACTTTAGTGTTCTTCTGTGCCACCTCTGCGCAAATGAATTTTGTTAATACTGATTGTATTTGATCAGTAGCCTAATTTGTTCTTATTCTATTGTTTTAATTAGAAATTTGGAAAAAAAAAAAACGTATATACACTTTTGACATATGATTTGACATACTTTCAATAAAGTTAGAACAAAATGCCATTAAAAAGTAAAAAAAATGCCCGTAAATCACTTTAAGGAGTCAAATATTACCTCATAATGGGAAGGCTAATTTTAGTTTTTGATCAGAAGGTGCTCTCTGGCATCAACAACTCCATGGCAGTAGGCCTCCATGCCAAACTCAGCAGATTCTCCACAGTATACCTATTGTTAATATTCAAGACTTTTCTGTCTGTTACTGAGAACCTGCACAAATATCTGCAAAGTGAAACAATAGACTTTGCTAAGGCTGCTGAGTACAAAAGAGCTGTCTTAAGCAGATGCGCACAGATGAGAAAGCTACTATGCTTTATGATACTGTCAGGACCATTTGTGCAGCAAATCAGATCCCAGAGCCATGCATTGCTACTAAACAAAGGCGCATGGAGGTTTATGTAGTGGACTCTAGTTGTGGAGCAGTAAGTCACCTCAGTGATGCAGAGAAGCTGAAAAGAAACCTGTTTCTACCTTGCCTTGACAGAATGGTGTCTGAGATGGAGCAACGTTTTTCATCTCTTAAAGGGGTCCTATTATGCTTTTTCACTTGTGAAAAATAATGCGTTTTCGAACCACCAAGCATGAGAGCATGTTCAAGTACACCCCCAAAACAAATTCAAGACATTGTAAAAGAGCATAATAGGACCCCTTTAATGGCCAAATATTGAGAGGTGTTCAGGCCTGTAATCCTGGATTTGATAGCTTTCTTTGTGAGGAGCACCTCCGAGGTCTGGCAGATCATTAAATCGGAGGAGGTTTCAGTGGCTAAAAACTATCTGGCTCACAAAAAGGAAAGCCGTCCAATTAAGAATATACAGTGTGATTACAAGTTGCTAGATAAAGTCATATTCCCAACCTTGACACGGGTTATGCAGATATCTCTGACAATCCCAATCAATAGTTGTCATTGTGAACGGTCATTCAGTGTGCTGAGACGGCTCCACACTTGGCTGAGGTACACAATGGGGCAAGAAAGGCTTCACCATCTTGCCGTCTTATCAGTTGAGAGAGAAGAACTTTGTAAACACTGTTGCCAACTAATTTTCAGAGGAAGTTGCTAAAAGCGGAACGATTTGTTGCTAAGTGACGCTGTGACGTCACGGCGTGATGAACGCAAAACTGCATCTTTATGTAATATACAGAAAACACAATGAGTTTTCTCAAATTGACTGGCCACCTCAGCAAAAACATTATTTAAAATGTTAATTTAGATTTGTTTGAAAAAAGTTATATACATGTAGTAGGCTATTTGTAAAAGTAATACAAACACAAGACCTTTTTGATCAGATATTTTTATTTTTAAATATAACACTGATATTGAACAGTTACACTCTTTTGAACAATCACAGTTTATGTAGTCTATTTTCTTTTTAACTTGTGAAATTAACAATTAACAACAATTAAACAACAATTAAAGCACTGTATTGCTAGTTAATATGCTACCTAAATGAACAACAATTATACATGTTAATAACAAGGTATCAGTAAATGAACAATTATATCAAACAATTGTAGCTAGCATTTTAACTTGAATGTGATATAATGTGTCTGTTGCTAGGCATCACTTAGGATGGTGGTTCTTCTTGTCTGGTTAGCTGTTCAGTGTTTTCTCTGGCACTTTTTTCATTCACAATGCAGTGTACACTGCCATTGATTCCACTAGTTACAGAAACTCCATTCTTTGATGATTCATAGATTAGCAAGCAAATCATCTTCATCTTCACTGTCCAGGTGCTCTGTCAATGAGCTGGTATCAGCAGAAGAGGATGGAATGGCTTTAAAACTGTATGCTGCAGTGGTGCCAAACTGTTGTAGAACGTCATTAGGTAGTTTATGCTGGTAACAAGTATCACCAGCCAGCTTCAGTCCATACCGCACAAGGAGTATGGAGTTAAGAGCGTGCAGTGACAGTCTATTTCTTAACTTTGACTTGACCACACTCATTTGGCTGAACAGCCGTTCAACCTCTGCATTTGAGTGTGGCAAGGAGAGGACAGCCAGTGCAGCTTTGCAGTTATTCGAATGGTTTTGACCCGGAAGCGTCTGTGTAGTTATACACTTCGCTCCAAAACTCAATGGTATTTTCAGTTGATTCCCACCTCAACAAATGTATGTTTCTCCATTGGGAAACAATTTTGTCAATTGTCTGGGGTTGGTACCCCAGTAGCTCAGCTACATTTATCATTTCAGTGTTGCTTTTATTGTGCTTCATTGTTTCCTTAACACTGAACAGAGCCATGTTTTGTAAGATTTCGAGATTAAGCAAGGAGCTGCAAGCAAGGCTCCCAGGCAGAGCAACAACATAGTTGATGCATCGTCTCCAAATGACCTTTTCGTCCTCTGGAGCAAGACTGAGTTGGGACATTTCAAAAAGGTACCCAAGATATGGTGCTGGACTGAGATGACCATCAATGGCATCCTTCAGGACATCAATCTTTGCCATAGGATTGACTACTCTGCTGCAAACTGATGATAAGAGGTGAACCAGATTGTCCAAAAGCTTGACAGGATCTGTATGTTCACCCTCAAATGACTTCACTGCAACTTGTACTTCGGACAGGATTGATTTTAAGAATGTAAGGTAGACATAGTTGGTCTTGTCCATGTACATGGCATGGAGCACATCTGCCATGTAGCAATGCTCACTGGTCTTGGTTAACTCAAAGTGGAGTTTCAGTTCTTCCCATTGGTCCAATATACAAGTTACCGCAGGCTCAATCGATAGCCAACGTGTGGCACACACTTTGGTGATCTGCAGGGGTTTCTGACCACAATTAATGGTGGCATACACTGCTTTGGTATGCCTCTCGCCATTTTAGGGAAATCGAAAACCAGTTGTAGGTTTCCCTGATTAAGTATTCAACACATCTAGGGATGGTTTATTTGGATGCTGCACTGACAGCCAGTTGTAAAGAATGGCACACACAGCGAATGAGTACAAAATTGGGCAAAGCACATTCTTCTTTTAAAATCTTGTGGACTCCATTGTGCACCCCAGTCATCACAGAGGCATTATCAGTGCCAATACCCTGAAAATTCTCTTTTTTAAGGTTACACTTTTCGAGAAACTCAACTATTGCCTTTGCTATTGATTTTGCATCACCCGCCTCCAATTCAACCAGCCCAAGAAATGTGGACACAAGTGTTCTTTTTTTAGCACTAAAATACCGAATCACCACACATAAAATTACTGGTTTCTTGAAATTTTGTAATTCTAAATAAAATTAAAAAAAAAGATGAAATTATTCATTATTATTATTGTTTAATGTAGAAGAATGCAAATGTGCAAGTTCTCTCCAGTTTTATTTCCATATACACTGATTGCCTTAAAACATGTTGAGAATGTTTGTGAAGTATGATGAAGTCACTTAAATAAATATATTCATAAAGCGTTAATGTATACATTTACTTTCCCTAGTGCTTTTTGCAGCGTAGGAATAGTGGATTACATGGTTCATTGTACACCTCACGCAACTGGCTTTCAAGAAAGAAAAGTGATATGAGTAATGGGGGGCCTGTGCCCCAGTAGAGCTTTATGTCTAGCAACGCCCCTGACTCCAACCCCAATTAAACACACCTGAAGCAGCTAATCAAGGTCTTACTAGGCATATTAGAAACTTCCAGACAGGTGTGTTGGGGCAGGTTGGAGCTAAACTCTGCAGGACAGTGGCCCTCCATCACCAAGTTTGGACACCACTGGCTTAGTATCTACACTTTCAAATGGGATAAAATACACCATGTGTTTTAAATGAAAATGATGCACTAATGCAGTGATTCTCAAACCTGGCTCACAAGATCCACTTTCCTGCAGAGTTTAGCTCTAACCCTAATCAAACACTAACCTTACATACTTGTCAAAGTCAGACTTCACCGTCTCCCCAACACTAGCTAAAGGTGGTCTGGACTTAGGAGTAAGAACTGGCATTCTACAGAGGGTTTTAGCTTCGAGGTTGTGTGTCATGTTTTTCTTTAGTTTTAAGTCAAGCAATCATCAAGTATTTTTTCAACAATTAAACTCTACTAATGCAGGACATACTTTAAACATTACTAAATCCAAATCCATACCTCATCAACATGACCTCCAAGCAAGCAAACACACTTACCTCTGAATAACAAAAACTTGGTAAGCCCACCCCTAGTTATCAAAATGTAGTATAAGTTTCCAATTGTTGTTAATAGACAAGCCCCCAATTGTTACATCCTTTTTCCAGTTTAGGGTTGGTGAATAATAACAAATTATGAGAAAAGTAAAAAAGGAAAGAAGACGAGCTTACACAAAAGTTCCAAGCAAAATTGTGTCATGTATTTACAATTCTCAACATAAAAGAATGGGTATACACGCACAGTATATGCACAACAACGTGTACAGTTGCAATCAGAAATATTCACAACGATTATAATTCATACAAAGATTAAGGATTTATCAATTCAAGTTTTTTCAAAGAACAAGATGCTGTGTTGGATGACTTCTTTATGAGTTGAGTGACACAAAGTCAACACAGAAAATGCATGATGTAGTATTTGTGTGTAACAGGATATTTTGTTTTGGCATATTTTTTATGGCATAAAGTGGAGTTGCAACATAATTAAGCCTTTGGGAGCTCTATAATCATCCTTGACTTGCTTCAGCTGTGCTGCATATATAAACCCCACCCATGAAGGTATCCAAGGCGAGTTGCAATCATGGGAAAGACAAAGGAGCTTCCACAAAAGCTGAGAGAGGAGATTATTTCATCACACCTGTAGGGCCTTGGGTATAAAACAATTTTACATTCCAAGACACAATTGGGAGCATTATAAGGACGTTTAAAACTTATGGAACAGCTGCAAACATGCCTGGCCATGGAAGCCCAGAATTTCATCAAGGGCCTGTACCAACTTAGTCAGGACAACTAAGAAAAACCTCTGTGTGACTGCAAGACACCTACAGGATGACCTAATGAAGGCTGGTACAAGTGCTTCAAGAGCAACTATAAGACATGCACTGAATAAACAAGGACTTCATGGCTGGACTCCAAGACGCACTCCACTCTTGACCACAAGGAACATCAAAAGTTGACTAGAATATGCCAGGAGGAATTTGGAGAAGACTTCAGAGTTTTGGGAGACATTTCTATTGACTGATGAAACCGGAACGGTTTGGACATTTGGACCAACGGTATTTATGGAATGTGAAAGGCCAGGCTTTTGACCAGAAAAATACCATCCCCACGGTCAAGCATGGAGGTGGCTCATTGATGATGTGGGGCTGTTCTTGCAGCAGGAACTGGCAATCTTGATCGTGTACCTGGCATCATGGATTCCCAGAAATACCAGGCCATTTTAAAGAGGAACATGATGCCTTCTGTTGACTTTCTAGCAAGACAGTGATCCCAAGCACACCTCCAAGTCAACCAAAGCTTGGTTGAGAAAAAGATCCTGGAACGTCCTGGAGTGGCCTTCTCAGTGACCAGATTTAAATCTGAAAATCTGGGCAAATTGGCAAAGAATGGGCAAAGATTCTGATAGAGAGGTGTAAGAAGCTTGTCAGCACTTACCAAAAACATTTGTTAGAAGTTATAAAAGCTAAAGGATGCTCCACAAAGTACTGAAGCTGGGGGTTGAATAATACTGCACATGCACTTGTTAAAAATGTTACATTTTTCATTTGAACTTCAAAGTTAAGTCAACTTCTGTTGTCAGATTAACTCAAATATGTATCAATAAATATTTTTTATATACTTATATTATAAATATAATATAAATATATTTTTTGTCATTTATTGTCATGATTGTTCATCGATATCACCATAATGTCTTTTGAGGTGAGGGGGTTGAATATTTCTGTTTGCAACTGTATATCCATAGAATGGCAATCAAAGTATAAAACAACAACAAATAATATTATGCCCTGGGATATAAAATTAAGTTCATATTCATTCTTGTTTATCTTTTTCCCCTGGCCATTGCAACATTTTTTCTTTTTGCAAGTCTTAAACTGGTCCCAAACTTGGGGTGTAACAACTAGTGAAAACACATTTTTAAATACAACTAACAATGTGTATTTTCATGAGTAATGACATCACAAATAACACAAATAGGGTCTCACATTTGCACATCTTGCATGGTTTTCCTCCAGAATGAATGCACAACTGATAACTGAAATTGCTCTTTATTCGTAAACCTTTTGCCACACTGAGCAGCACTCCACATTTCAGGGCTCTTTGATAAAACTCTTCACACTAAAGACACGTGAAATACTTTCTTTAGTGTGAAGTCTCATGTGAATGCTAACGTTTCCTTTAAGGTTGAAACTCTTCCCACACTGGGGGCAAGTGAAAGGCTTCTCTCCAGTGTGAACCTCAAGATTTGCTTTGTTTCTGCAAGTCTTTCCACAGTGATGATATTTAAGACATGACTTCAAAGAGGTAGGAATTTCACAGACAGGAAACACTTTGATGACATTCTCTCTTAAGTGAATCCTCAAGGATTGAGCTTAAGGATAACATTTATCTGAAACTCCACACTAATCGCATGTAAATAGCTTCTTTCTGTTCTGAGTGATCATGAGCCAGATATGGGTTAATTTTCAAAGTTCAAAAGTTCCACACTGTTGGCAGGTAAAGGGGTCTCTCCAGTATGAATTCTCATCTGAACTTTAAGCTTTCTATGTTGACTGAAACGCTTTCTCTCCAGTGTGAATTCTGATGTGTACTTTAAGCTTTTCATTTTGATCGAAACTCTTTCCACACTGATGGCATGTGAAAGGGCTTTCTCCAGTGTGTACGCTCATGTGGTAATCAAGGTTTCCTTTTCGTTTGAAATGTTTTCCACACTGTTTGCAGGTAAAAGGCCTTTCTCCAGTGTGAATTCTCATGTGTACTTTAAGCTTTTCATTTTGATCGAAACTCTTTCCACACTGATAGCATGTGTAAGGCTTTTCCCTAGTGTGAATTCTCATGTGGTACTTAAGGTTTCCTTTTCGGTTGAAACTTTTTCCACACTGTTGACAGGTAAAAGGGTTTTCTCCTGTATGAATTTTCATGTGGATTTTAAAGTTTCCATGTTGATCAAAACTTTTTCCACACTGCGGGCATGTGTATGGTTTCTCTCCAGTATGAATCCTAATGTGGACTTTAAGATTTCCATGCTGATCGAAACACTTTCCACACTGAGAGCATGAGTAAGGTTTCTCTCCAGTGTGAATTCTCATGTGCCTGTTAAGGCTTCCTATTTGAGTGAAACTTAATCCACAGTGCTGGCAGGTGAAATGGCTTTCTCCAGTGTGTACGCTCATGTGATAATTAAGGTTTCCTTTTCGTTTGAAACATTTTCCACACTGTTGGCAGGTAAAAGGCCTTTCTACTGTATGAACTTTCATGTGGAGTTTAAGGTTTCTATGTTGATGAAAACCCTTTCCACACTGAGGGCATGTGTAAGGCTTCTCCCCAGTGTGAATTTTCATGTCCCTATTGAGAATCCCTTTTTGAGTGAAACTTACTCCACACTGTTGGCTGGTAAAAGGGCTTTCTCCAGTGTGAATTCTCATGTGGTACTTAAGGTTTCCTTTTCGTTTGAAACGTTTTCCACACTGCTGACAGGTAAAAGGCCTTTCTCCTGTATGAATACTCATGTGGAGTTTAAGATTTCCATGTTGATTAAAACTCTTTCCACACTGAGGGCATGTGTAAGGCTTCTCTCCAGTGTGAATTCTCATATGTCTGATGAGAATCCATTTCTTTCTGAAACTTACTCCACACTGTTGGCAGGCGAGAGGGTTTCCTCCTATGTGAATTCTCATGTGGATTTTAAAGTTTTCATTTTGATCGAAACTCTTTCCACACTGATGGCATGTGTAAAGCTTCTCTCCAGTGTGAATTCTCATGTGCCTTTTGAGAATCCATTTCTTTCTGAAACTTACTCCACACTGTTGACAGGTAAAAAGGCTTTCTCCTGTATGAATTTTCATGTGGATTTTAAAGTTTCCATGTTGATCAAAACTTTTTCCACACTGCAGGCACTTGTAGAGTTTCGCTCCAGTGTGACTTCTCATGTGGACTTTAAGATTTCCATGCTGATCGAAACACTTTCCACACTGAGGGCACGAATAAGGCTTCTCTCCAGTGTGAATTCTCATGTGCCTGTTAAGGCTTCCTATTTGAGTGAAAAGCTTTCCACACTGAAAGCAGGTTAAACAACTTCTAGTTCCTACAGCTTTTTTAACTCTTTTTCGTGAGGAAGTCTTTTTAGTCTGTGAGCAATTAAAAGAGTTTTCTTCAATTATAAAATCATGATGGCTCTCATACTGATCTTTCTCTTCCACTTCATTCAGTACTTCTTTCTCCTCTTTAAATGCTGTCAGGTCTAAGGCAAAATAAAAAAAAAACAGACATCAAAAAAATTTTAAACAAGTAAAACATAACCAACAACATGAGTTATACATCCTTATACACACTAAGCTACTGAAAGTGGTGTAGCATGTAATCTCAGAACCTTTTTTAAACATTGTTTCAGCATTTTTTAACTGATCGTATTGGCCAGCCTAAACCTGATCCTTTATTTTACACCAGATGTCACGTTTATTAATTGCTATTAAAAGAAAACTGACTCAAAAACTAGTGAGGTCTGTTCTAGCACGTCACACATATTCTAGCTTCCATGTTTAGCATATTTGATGCACACTTTTGTAACAAATCACTCAAGTCAGTTATATACGGTTTACATTTATCTGCCATCAGAGTATCTTGAGACGTTGTCATAAAGCGTTACTATGGGTTGCATCTTGCTTCAGACTTGACTAAAAGAATGGCATTCTGACACAGCAAGCTTCATGCTTTCTAACCTTATTTCCACTTTTTTTAGATTTATTTTTGCCTTTATGTTTGACAGGACATTGATTTTTACTGTTAAAATCACGTTTTTTTTGTAATAGTCTAAAAGAAGAAAATCATATACACCTCGAATGGCTTGAGGGTTAGTAAATCATGGGCTAATTTTCATTTTTGGGTGAACTATGTTTTTAACTTAGTGATAGCCATTGGGATGTGAAGAGACTTTCTACCAGCATAACAAAAAAAATAGTTTTCGAATCAAATAACCTACCCTGCCTTTAATCAAACACACCTGATTCAACTCATCGGCTCAGTAGTAGACTCCAAATAGATATGCCAAACACCAACCCTCTACACTGCGAGTAAATAATTTGCATATGCGACTAGTAAGTAGAGGGTTGAAACACGGAAATTTCTAACATGGGGGGAGTCAAGAAGATAATCAGAGAAAGCTAGAGTGTCCTTTTATTCATAATAATTGCATGTTATTATCAGAATATTTAATATTATTGAAGTAGTCTATCTGTGGGTCTCCACCTCCAGTGAGGCCCGTTATTCATGCTTTCTAACCTTATTTCCACTTTTTTTAGATTTATTTTTGCCTTTATGTTTGACAGGACATTGATTTTTACTGTTAAAATCACGTTTTTTTTGTAATAGTCTAAAAGAAGAAAATCATATACACCTCGAATGGCTTGAGGGTTAGTAAATCATGGGCTAATTTTCATTTTTGGGTGAACTATGTTTTTAACTTAGTGATAGCCATTGGGATGTGAAGAGACTTTCTACCAGCATAACAAAAAAAATAGTTTTCGAATCAAATAACCTACCCTGCCTTTAATCAAACACACCTGATTCAACTCATCGGCTCAGTAGTAGACTCCAAATAGATATGCCAAACACCAACCCTCTACACTGCGAGTAAATAATTTGCATATGCGACTAAATCTTCACTCTGGGCAACTAAATGATGTCTAATATTAGCCACTGGCTAATAAATTCTCAGATTTTACTCACCAGTGTGTGAGTTGGACGCAAAGTATAAGTTTAGCACAGATATATTTTTACTCGTCGAGTAAACACACTGACTGAGCGCTTCAGTTTCATTCTCTGTCAAGTGATCTGTGCTATTTCTCAGTTCATCTGAATGGATGCGCAGTGCACCTGTATTTGACGTACCGTAAACTCTAGTGTAAAGGCGCACAACTCGCCGTCACTTTGTCTCACACACACGCAAAGAGAGAAAGAGCGAGACAGTCTTGCATACCATGCAGAATTGACACACTACATGTAAACGATATTCTTTGTTGCATTTTCCTGTCAAAATAACGGAGTTCCTTATGATTTTTTCAGCTTTTAAGAACTGCCGGGTTTTCCGGTAGTGGGCGGAACTAAAGCGCAAATGGCAATGTGTGTATATATATATATATATATATATATATATATATATATATATATATATAAAACACACATGCATATATGGTATATCAGTCTGGCGAGTAAATTAAAAAAATTTACTAGCCAATGGCGATTCAGTTGCCAAGGTGTAAGTAGAGGGTTGAAAAACGGAAATTTCTAACATGGGGGGAGTCAAGAAGATAATCAGAGAAAGCTAGAGTGTCCTTTTATTCATAATAATTGCATGTTATTATCAGAATATTTAATATTATTGAAGTAGTCTATCTGTGGGTCTCCACCTCCAGTGAGGCCCGTTACTCAGGTCCACCTGTCTGATGCCCCTGTGAGTGACCAAATCGAGTCCTCAAAATTGATCATTTGTCAAACTCAAATGATGTTGATCTGGTTGATTTGAAAGAGAGAAGGTCTCTGCTAAGCTCACGGTGAACCAGGAACCCCGCAGGTCTGTTGCCTCAGCCCCAAACTCTTTTCATTGTATACACATGATTGTGTCTCCAATCAAGACAAAAGCATAATCATTAAGTATGCAGATGACACACCTATCTTTGGCCTCATCAGAGGGGGGATGAGTCATCATACATTTAACAAATCAGTTATTCATTAGATTAACAAACAATCACAGACCCCTCACCCAATAAATAGCACAGATATATTTTTACTCGTCGAGTAAACACACTGACTGAGCGCTTCAGTTTCATTCTCTGTCAAGTGATCTGTGCTATTTCTCAGTTCATCTGAATGGATGCGCAGTGCACCTGTATTTGACGTACCGTAAACTCTAGTGTAAAGGCGCACAACTCGCCGTCACTTTGTCTCACACACACGCAAAGAGAGAAAGAGCGAGACAGTCTTGCATACCATGCAGAATTGACACACTACATGTAAACGATATTCTTTGTTGCATTTTCCTGTCAAAATAACGGAGTTCCTTATGATTTTTTCAGCTTTTAAGAACTGCCGGGTTTTCCGGTAGTGGGCGGAACTAAAGCGCAAATGGCAATCTAATTGGCTGGCGCTCACCTATTATCGTCCCTGTTTGGATTTCAGCAAATCAATTCGAGCAAACGCACACAACTTGATTAATATTCATGAATTCAGCAGCTCGTTAATCCTTAGTGCATTTTATATTGTTCTTATTAGTAGAATTATAAGTATTACTATTATTATCTTATCAGTATTATTGTTAATTTTTTCCCATTTTTTTTACAGAAACACTGAATGACTAAAAAAGCAGCACCACCAGTCCTAAGTTCAGTTAAAATTACTAATATGCATTCATACATGGTTTTAATTCTAATTACTAAAGTTCTATCATTAAATAATACTTGATTATCATATATCGGACTCGGGAAATCAAAATAGAACTAGTGATAACAAGGCGCTCTGATTGTTTTTGTTGTAGAATACGATAGGGTATATATTCACACGTTATAGAAACGAAAATGATGGTGTATAAAATTTATTTTAAGATAAAAAATAGACGATAAAGAATTAACTTGACGGAGCTCAAACTCAAAACACACGGCAGCAACATATTAGTGCTCTGAGAATCTTTAGTAATTTTGCATCAGCACCCAATTGAATTACATATGCAAAATACCATGCTCTAAGACAAAGAGTCTTAAGACTTTCCCTCCAAAAGTGTGTCACCATTGGCTCTGTGACCTCCCTGAGGTGTGAGCTCAATAGGAGATAAAGCTCTCACATCAGTGACCCGCCTCTGTCAGTCTGTGGTGGTTAGATTCTGAGAAGATGGGGATGCTGAGCTAGTCTTCTAAGGACACCCTAAGTTCCTGCTAGGCCTCGGCCTTGACTTTCCATTCAACAAAGATCCTCGGATCTCAGCTGATGTCTCTCTTAGCTCTTTTTCACTTTCCACTGGGAAGAAACTCCCAATCACCATCGAGTCAGAACAGCTTTGGAGTTCATCACTCTTCAAACCCGGAAGAACGTGATCGCAAGTCCAAACCCTTGAAACCATCAAGACTTTCATCCGAGACTGCATCCGGACACTCGTCAACGACCAAGGCAATGCAAATATTGTACATTTAACTAAACGAAACAGAGGTTTAGTATAAGCTGTAGACCTCGTTCTAAAACGGCGCTGATGGTTTCACTGAGAATTATGATGGTTTCACATTGAGAAGAATTAATTTTTGATTTTTCAATCAAAGAAGTGCTATCTCTCGCATTAGTATAACTTTCTTTCTGTTTGTGATTTGTGGGAAATAAAGAAAACTGCATACTGAATATTGTAAATGTGATGCAGGTTAATTGATGTCCCTTGCCTGTTTATATGTAAAATAGTTAATTGCAGATGAACAAGAACACAGAAAGATTTATAAACTCTATTGGAAATGTTGAGATGAAATTGGTCTGAATTGTGACATGAAATAGGCCAAACTGCATGTTGAATGTTGACTTATGTGTGCAGAATACATTTGTTTCAAATATAGATGTTTACTTTTAAGACCATTTTACAGCTTGTGCTAAAAATAATATTATATTTGCTTAATTACTCAAAGAGTTTCTGTAGCTTTTCAATGTGGAATAATAAATATTTTGAAAAAATGGCATTGTGTGTACACACATTATGAGAAGAATAAGTCATAATTCCCCCGGGCACTCAACATTTGACCATGTGGCCCCAAGGACAAAGTAATTGAATAGCCCTGCTAGAGACTAGAGCGGATCTGCGCATCACGGCACACGTCTGCGGCGCATTAAAGCCTGTGTTACGGCCACCGGAGCTGATCGCGGCCACTCAGTCAATGCTGGTGTTTGTACCGGCCGCGCCGTGGCACAGAACTTATGCTTATCACATCCGTCACATCACGTGCCACACGATGTGATGTGACGGATGTGATAAGCATAAGTTCTGGCGCAGCGCGGCCGGTGTAGAATAGAACCCATTATAATCAGAGATGTTGTCTACACTGGATGCAGTAAACTGATGCCTCGTTCTATTTATGACATGCTGACACAAAGTTCAAATGATTTTCAACGGTCGCTTTGTCGCGTTCCGTTGCGGCGCAGACACGGTGTCAGCATAGTTTGTCAGTACAGTCAGTAACGTAGCAGATTGAAAAGTTAGTATCTTTCTGCAGTCCAATA